GCCGACTCCCTAAATCTTTCACCTCCACGATCCGACCTTCTTCCTCTGTGAGCAGTGGTCCATATTTCTTCTCGCGAAATCGCACCGCGCGGCAGGAGATAGGTAACGACTTAATCTGATCACTGGGTCTCGCACCCACAGCGAGAGCTGCTCTGTTCCTCGGGTCCCGAGGCTCCACTGTCTCAATCATTACCCGCGTCCCGTCTGGCTTCCTAATGGACAATGTTTGGCTCCCATCAGGTCGCTCTATCGTCACCGCATGCACGTGGCTCAGCCACGTTCGACACAAGAGCAGGTCGGAGCTGTAGTTCTTGACTGCAAAGACAGGCAGGGTCACTCGTACCCCTTGGACCTCTATGGCTGCCTTGTGACAAACCTCAGTGATCTGTTGCTTTCTTCCATCAGCCGTCTCTATCTCGAATAGGTATGACCTATCGAGGCCCAGTCCAACCTGTACTGCCAGGTCCTCGTCTATGATGACAGCCTCACTGCCGTTATCGATCACAGCATCGAGTAYCGCTCCATCGTTTATAATCGTCTCCACGGCCCCGCTACCAAGTATATAAAACTTGTCTGGAGGCACACCTTCCATTCCATCGAGAAGGACTGTCGCCATGCGATCCGCTCTAGCAGTCACCCCTGTTACTGCTACTGTAGAAGCTTCTGCCCCTCCTCCGATAGAGGTATGCGAGTCTTTCGCGTGATCATCTGTAACTCATCACGAGCCGGCTTCGATGCCGCCAGGTACTCCAGAATAGAGCACTGCATGGGTTGCCGAAGGGCCCGCCTCAGTGGCTCGACCGTGTCAATCTCGTCCAGCGAACTCTTCATTAAGAACTTCTTCACTCCCCTCTTTCGCGGCGAAAGGATAACCTCCTCTCCATCGAGCCGCTGCCCGTCCTTCTTCGCCATCACGTAATCCGTGTCAGTTTTCTTTGATGTAGACCCTTTCAACGACTTGGTGGCTGCCACCCTTATGGGTGTGGTCGCTATATCCCCCTCAAAGGTTATCTTGATGCTCTGGCTCCTTATCAACTCCTTTTCTTTACTCGGCTTTACTCTCCTTGCTTCGACATTCTCCTTCATCGAAGGGAACATCGATACATCTCCCAGACCATCTGCCCACTTGACGTACTTGCGGTCGTCAAGCACGACAAGTCCCTCATCTATTGCCCGTTTGAGGTCCGGGCAATCCCTCTTGATATGATCTTCTCCTCTGCAGCAGACGCATGAGTTCCTGGGAGTAGATGGCCTGTCGTCTGCGCTTCTAGAGATCGAACTCCTGGCTGCCTTGGGGTCAGACGACTTGGGATATGGTTCTGATGAGACGCCATATCCCCCTCTCTCATTCCGACCACGCGAATCGTTGCGGCCGTCTCCTCCAGAACCTCCTTGCTCATACCGCCCTCGCGAATCATTCCGGCGGTCCCCCGAGTTATATCGCCCTCGTGACTCATCGCGTCGGTTCCCTCGGTTGTACCACCCGCGCGACTCGTCGCGCTGCTCTCTCGCATCTCCCCCGCGCTCAAACCGTCCGCGCGACCCATCTCGTCGTTCCCAGTCCCGATCTCCTCTTTCATACCTACCACCTCTGTAGCCATCTCGACCCGACCTCTCCCTATATCCGTCTCGGTCCGATCTCTCGTATCTGTCGTCCCTATATCCATCTCGGTCCGATCTCTCGTATCTGTCGTTCCTATATCCATCTCGTCGGCCCTGATCTGTCTCCCATCGGCCGCGGGAGTCGCCTCTACCCCGATCGGCCTCATAGCGAGGGCTTCGCGGGTAATCATCCAGCCTCCTTGCTCGCGCAAACGGCTCGCGATCTCTGCGGTCTCGGTCTATCTCATCATCCCTA